GATGATGATGGTTTGGAGGATGAGATAGAACAGAGAAAAAGAAATTCACTGGTAAGGGATTCAGTTAGAACTTCATTCATTCATTCATTCATTCATATTTCATGACAATACTGGTGAAGGTTCAAACAAGACATATTGTTTTCAAATGTGCTTTACATTTTAACTTTTATGATCTATTCAACAAACACTGACTATGGGCATAGAAGTATAAGCAGAAGTCACAACTGGTTTAAGATCAAAGATTCCATGATCATTTCCGCCATTTACTCAGTGATCATAATATTTGCTTGTTAATCTAGCAGCAAACAACAAGTTATCAATTTAACATACTGTGGGACGGGGAATTTTCACACAATGAAATTTGTGTGTGAAAGAAACTTGTGTCTAATTCACGTTTTCCTTGCAGACGAGTTATTTCAACTGTATTATTCAATGCCTGTTAGTAATTCACACATTAAAAACAAGTGTTACACATTCACTAGCAAACACACGTCTGATTATTGCTATTGTTACTGCAGTTCACACTCAGCGCGGCAACCATTTTGCCAAGTAAAAAATACGGGAAACAGTGCATCGGTTTTTTAGACACTGTTATCATTCCATATGTGACATCGTCACGCCAGAAGTTTCGGTTACCTGAAATACTACACGACAACAAAATCGTACTGTTTGTTTTGGCCTGCTGTACCAATCAGTTGCAACCCCTTAGGCTTACTGTCAACAAACTCTTCAAGGACTCTAACTTTCAATCGAAACAGTTCAAGTGTCTGTCGTCTACTGCATAGGCTGAGTACTCCGGAGAGACATAGTTTTAACACCATTGCAAAGATCGTGGGCCAATTTGGTGCAACCCTGTCAAAACAGCCGTTAAAATGACCGATAAAAATTCCACGGGAAAAAACAACATAACTTACTGATAGATCGGCTGATTTAAAAAATTCAAACATGAATACACTTGTCATAACAATGGCATTCTTTTTAGACGCATCGCACAAGTAAATTTACGCTTATTCTCGTAAAACACTGCATAGCAATCGAGAAATAAAAAGGCTCGCCCTTGGAAATGAGGACAGTGAATGTGAGTGTCGAAAATGATCATGAGGTTCAAAGGACGTTTAAACAGACAAGATAGGACGATTAACTCGACTAGAAACAAAGGGAATTTAATAGGTTTAAACCAGTTGTGACTCCATCTGCTTATACCTCCCTGCTATGGGTGATGAATTATTAGTTTTTGGTCTGTGTTTTTAACAGATTATCATATTTGCTCTATTAGAAGCGCATTACTAGTATCCGATAGAAATGCTCATAGTTTTATTTAATGTATGGTTTGTATAGTTTGGCTATGGACACACTTTTATGTAAGCATATGCACTACTAATAGAGAGAATACATTAACTGTTTGGTACAAAGAATCTTGCATAACTACATTATATATAATGGTAGTGGTTGTGATATGTTTGTTAAATATTCATGCTGACTCATCATATCATGTTTATTGATCATACAAGCATCACAGAGGGGTTTCTATTGGTAATACTGAACCTATTGTGTTCTACAATGAAGATGACAAGTTTACTTTGCATAATGAGGTGTAAATTTATTTTCATTATATTATTTGTGAGGGTGTTCATACAAATATGGTGCATGTTTAATTGATTTCACCCATTTTATTCTCTTCATTAAGCACTTGTAGTGATAATAGTAGTAAATATAGATTTTCCCCTAGCTTTATCTCCTCATAGTATAAATCTACCATTGTTTGAATTGGTATTTGCAGGCATGCAACAACTAGTATATGAGGCTTGCTGTGAAAGGATTTTTTATTACATATCCTAGTGTTTTAACAATTTTAGTAGCAATATAAATCATCAGATTTAAGACCGGTATCACATATAAAAATGTACTACAGTATAAAATTTAAAATGTTATATTTTCCTCATTTTGTCATTGTCACAGTCAGAAAATTTAAAAAAAATAGAATTTATAAAATAAATTTTAAAAAATATTACTAATTAAGAATAAAAACTAAATAAAATAATGAACAATTGAAAGAAGAATTGCCCATTGAGATTACAGATTGTTTTTTTCTGTGATTTGCCATATGCATATAAATATACCCTCTTCAAATCCATGCTCTGACATCAAGAACTAGCAATTTAAGTGAATTCAACAAATGATTTTATTAAATTATAGCTCAGCCATTCCCTCTAATACATGTTACCAATAGTTTCACACTCACATAATGCCATGTAAATGTTACAAGTTTTCAGGTGAAAAAAAAATCAATAAGCAGGCTTGAAAGTCATTGCCATACTTCTTTGGCATTTTTGTAGGAGTTTGTTTTACAGAAATGAGGCCTTATGTGTATAGCATCATCAGATTAATGTATCGTCTGAAAATCTCCACAGATAGCTAATATATGAGAGTGTCAGTGAGTAGGTGATGTGTTAACACTAACTTTTCACAGCCTCAGATTGTCAACTAGTTCAAATACTAGTTGTAGTTTGAAAGGGATAATGCGACTAAAACACATAATTTCTGAATTCGGTACACTAATTATACCTAAAACATTATTTTTTATGAAAAAAATAATATTTTACTTTTTAAGTACATGTATGTCACTTGTCATAAAATGGTAGAACATAAAGACACCTACATCACATATTCTAGAAGCGTGAATCCTGGCAATTCTAAAGTACATGTATACGTTTTGCTAGTATTTTTAAAGCTCAATCAAGGGAAAATGAGTATGCCAAAAATTTATCACTAGCAGCTAACAAATATATCATAAATATATTTATAATAATGTACTGTCCCAAATACACACTTCAATATGGTTGTCCAGTGTGTAGTTAGCAATTGTCCAGGGTTCAATTGATAGTTATCCAGGGTTCAATTGATAGTTGTCAAGTGTGTTGTTAACAATTGTCCAGGGTTCAATTGATAGTTGTCCAGTGTGTAGTTAACAATTGTCCGGGGTTCAATTGATAGTTGTCCAGTGTGTAGTTAGTTAACAATTGTCCAGGGTTCAATTGATAGTTGTCCAGTGTGTAGTTAACAATTGTCCAGGGTTCAATTGATAGTTGTCCAGTGTGTAGTTAACAATTGTCCGGGGTTCAATTGATAGTTGTCCAGTGTGTAGTTAACAATTGTCCGGGGTTCAATTGATAGTTGTCCAGTGTGTAGTTAACAATTGTCCGGGGTTCAATTGATAGTTGTCCAGTGTGTAGTTAGCAATTGTCCAGGGTTCAATTGATAGTTGTCCAGTGTGCAGTTAG